CGGTCCCGGTGCGGTGCGGTCCCGGTGCGGTCGGTGCCGCCGGGGGCCGGCAGGGGGCGCGCGCGGGGCGGCGGTGCCGATCCCTGTTCCGGTTCCGGTCCGGCCCGGTGGCGGCGGCGGCGCGCGGCGGTGTCCGCCCGCCATGCAATGTCAGCGCTCAACTGGAAACCCTTCGTATATGGCGGGCTCGCCTCCATCGTGGCCGAGTTCGGTGAGGTGCAGGGCCCGGGCGGGACCGGGGCCGGGCGGGACCGGTACCAGTACCGGGAGGCGCTGATGCCGGTGTCCCCGCTGTCCCCGCAGGCACGTTCCCCGTGGACCTCACCAAGACGCGGCTGCAGGTGCAGGGGCAGAGCACCGACGCGCGGTTCCGCGAGGTGCGGTACCGGGGCATGTTCCACGCGCTCTTCCGCATCTGCCGCGAGGAGGGCGGACGGGCCCTGTACTCGGGGTGAGCACCGGCGCCGGGCCATCGGCAGTGGATCCCATCCCCCCGGGGCCCCCATCCATCAGYACCGGAACCCCCACCCGTGTGCCAGGGGACCCCCTACTCGTCCTCCATCCGGCCCCGCGCTGCCATCCACGCCCCCGGACCTCCCCGGTGCCTGCCCGTCGGGCTCAGCATCTCCCACCGCCTGTCTGGGCCCCCTCTGCGGCCGCAGCATCGTCCCGCCTATCCTGAACCTGTTCTCCAGCCCTTCGCAGGTTTCAGCCTCATGCCGACATCCCCCTCCACCCACCCCAGGTTCTCCCACTGCCACCCCGGGGCTTCCCCCACACCCTGGCATTAACCMCTGCCTTCCCCGGGTCTCCCCCCGCCATCCCGGGTTCTTCCCCACCGCCCAGCCCGGTTCTGCTTCTGTCCTGGCCCCCCTTCCCAGTCTGGGTCCCCTCTTACACTTGTCACGGCATTGCCCCTTGCTCCGTGCTCCTCCCGACCCCACCGTTGCCTGCACGCTGCTGCGACCCGCGGGATCCCTGCCGGCCTGAACCCCTGAGCCCAGAAACGTTCCTGGTTTTCACGAGGCAGGGAGCCAGGCCAGGACTGCGTGGGTGCCAGCCCCTGGCACTGSGGGGTGCGTGGGGCAGTCCCGGGTTATCCCGGGCAGAGCTGCATTTCTCGGAGCCGCCGCAGGGAAGTGTCTGGCCCTGGAAAGTTGGCGGCGGGTGAGGAGCGGCTCGTGGGTATGCTCAGGGTCCATTCCCCCTCAGGATCGCCCCGGCACTGCTGAGACAGGCGTCCTATGGCACCATCAAGATCGGGATCTACCAGAGCTTGAAGCGGCTCTTCGTGGATCGCATGGAAGGTCGGTGTCAGGGAACGGCAACACGGGCATCTCCCAGCTCCCCCACCTCACTGGGCTGTGTGTTCTGCTCCTTCCTTGCTCTGTTCTTCCTACCCCAAGATTCCCACAGGAACAGGGCTCTGTTACTGGGCACTGTGGTTTTATTTGCCAGTGAGAGCAAGGATTGGTTTCAATCCCTCACTGTGCTCTGCACTGCCTGTGRTCCCTACCCAAACACCTCCCTCCGGCAGGTTCCTTCCTTTCATGGAATTGTAGGAGAGTCACAGATTCATTTAGGGTAGAGAAGACCTCCCAAAATCTCCAAGACCTCCCAGGTCCAGCCTGTGACCGATCCCCCACTCTGGTCACCCARCTCAGAGCACTCAGTGCCACATCCAGGTGTTTATTGGACACCTTCTGGGATGGAGACTCCACCACCTCCCCAGGCAGCTCCTCCCARTGYCTGACCACCCTTTCCAGGAAGAAATTCTTGGACTTCCCCTGGCACAACTTAAAGCTCTGTCCTCTCGTGCTGTTGAGACTTTATCTCTGCTTTGCRCCTCAGAACAAAAAAAACCCAAGGCACCATTCCCCAGGCTTGTCTCTTTTTGATTAATCTCAGAGAGGCATCCCATCCCACCTAGACAGCAAGTGTGTAACAGTGATTTGAAGCTTCCAGAGTGTCTCCTGTCTTCTTTCTGGAGCTTTTGAATGCTTGTGCTGGCATGCAGCATGCAGAGCAAATCCCAGAATGGTTTGGGTTGGAATGGGCCTTAAGGCTTATCCAGTTCCACCTCTGCCACGGGCAGACACCTTCTTCTATCCCAGGTTGCTCCAAGCCCCAGTGTCCAGTCTGGCCTTGGACACTTCCAGGGATAGGGCAGCCACAGCCTCTCTGGATAGGAATTATGCAGTGCAGCTCTGTAGCTTTGGCCCTGACAGTAAAGGTGAGGTTCCACCAGTGCTCTTGACCTGTGCCTTCTGCTCATGAGGYCTCTGCAGCTCCTGCCTGGACAGTGGAGCAGCAGGAGTCTGGTGAGTGTTCCCTGAGGGAGCACTGAGATCTGCAGGTGAGATTTTCATCCTTGGGATGATATGAAGGAATGCTGTAACATCATTCCAGCCTAGGAAAGCAGGATGGGTGGGTGAAATGCAGCACGCTAATGGTATGAAGCTGTGTTAGGGGAGGTTTAGGTTGAATATCAGTAAAAGGTTKTTTTCCYAGAGGGTGCTTGGCMACTRCCCAGGCTCCCCAGGGAATGGTCCCAGCCCCGAGGCTGCCAGAGCTCCAGGAGCATTTGGACAGTGCTGTCAGRGATGCACAGKGTGGGATTGTTGGRGGGTCTGTGCAGGGCCAGGAGYTGGATTGGAAGATCCTTATGGAACCTTTCCAGGTCCGGAGATTCTGTGGTTCTGTGACTCTAGAGCTCCTTCCAGGGCTGCTGTCTTGCTCCAGAAATGTCTCTCCCTGCTCCAGGATGTCTCTCCCTGCCTGGTTCTGTCCATGCATGCAGGTCTCACATTCCCCCTTGCTGTTCCAGCCTTTCCAGCTGTGAGTCCTGCGCCTGAATATTTGTCTCCCTACAGGCTGGGGCAGCCAGTGGCCTGGTCTCCTCTGGGAAGTGTCGTGGTCAGTACCAGCAAAGGCCTGTGCCTTTTCCCGATGTAACCATCATCCTAATACTGGGCCTGGAATCTYGGGTTATTCCCTGGCACTAATCACATCTAACTCCCTGCCTGGTCTTGCTCAGCTGGCCCCAGGTGGCTGTRTCTAGGCAAATCCAGTTGGTATCAGGTGCCCTGGGGAAATCTGGGTTGTCCCTCTCTGTCTCCCTCTGTCCTGGCTTGTCCCTGCCATGAGAAACATGTCACTGGACACTGAAATCTCAGATAATTGTTCATAATTTTCACATGTCCCGGGATTTTCTTTCTCATCAGACAGATGATCTGAGAATGCATTGCTGAGTGTGCCCCGCTCTGTCCCTGGCAGGTGTGGGGATAGACCTGTCATGAGCTGTGGCCCCTGCCCAGCCCCTGCTCCTGCAACTTCCCTGTGTAATTTGAGAACTGAGCTGCTCTGCTCTTCCCAGCCTTGTTTCCTCCTGCCTGTGCCCCTTCCCATGAGGCTCTGACCTTCTCTCCTTGGTTGCAGATGAAACGTTGCTCATCAATGTGATCTGCGGGGTGGTCTCGGGAGTCATCTCCTCTGCRCTGGCCAATCCCACAGATGTTCTGAAGGTAAGGGCTGCTCCTGGCCACCTCTTAGCTGGCTGTGGGACCCATGGGAGGAGCAGCTCAGTGCTCCCTGAGCCACCAGTTCTGCTCATTTGGGGCTTTTCAATGAATGGGGACCAAAGCCCAGAGTCATTATTATGTTTAAAAACACAGCTTTTAAAGATCACAGAATTGTGGAACAGTTTGGATTGAAAGGGACATGAAAAAGCATCTCATTCCACCCCGTGCCATGTGCAGGGACATCTCCCACTAGACCTTGGCCTGGAATACTTCAGGGATGGAGCAGCCACAGCTTCTCTGGGAAACAGAGATCATGAC